ACCATCACAGGGCCTTTGCCTAAGCTGTTCCCTCCATCTAAGAGTGTCCTCACACCAATACTCCCTATTAATGCTCCTTTTTTTTGTTTTCCTCTTTTATTCTTCTGTTATTCAACGAGTATTTTCTGAGCACCTACCATGGGCCAGGTGCTATGGTAAACACTAGAGATATAATGGTAAGATTAGATTCTATTCTCACGGAGTTCAAAATCTAGTGAGATTGATTTTAATAAATTAATTATACAAATAAATGTAAAATTTATCTATGATGTGTGTTGCAAAGGAGGGAGATACAGTGCTATTAGGAAGAACTGAGCTCAAATAAAAGCAGAGAGATCAGTTAGGAGGCCACTGCCTATTCCAGGGGACAGATATGGTGGCTTGGACTAGGAGAGAGATGTACTGAAGTGGGTAGACTGCAGAGACCTTGGTGAATGTCATGGATTGACTTGTGTGTACCAATTTGGCTGTGTCATGATTCCCGGTATTGTGTGATTGTCCACCATTTTGTCATCTGATGTGATTTTCCTATGTGTTGTAAATCCTGCCTCTATGATGTTAATGAGGGGAGATGGGTGGCAGTTGTGTTGATGAGGCAGGACTCAATCTACGGTATTGGATTGTGTCTTGAGCAGTCTCTTTTCGGATATAAAAGAGAGAAGTGAGCAGAGATGGGGGACCTCATACTACCAAGAAAGCAACACCAGGAGCAGAGTGCGTCTGTTGGACCTGGGGTTCCTGCCCGGAGAAGCTCCTAGTCCAGGGGAGGATTGATGAGAAGGATCTTCCTCCAGAGCCGAAAGAGAGAGAAAGCCTTCCCCTGGAGCTGATGCCCTGAATTTGGACTTCTAGCCTACTAGAATGTGAGAAAATAAATTTTTCTTTGCTAAAGCCATCCACTTGTGCTATTTCTGTTATAGCAGCACTAGATGACCAAGACAGTGATGAAGTGTGTATGTGGAGATGTGAGGCTTCTGGCTTGTGTAACAGAATACAGGGAGATACCACTCACTGAGAAGGGATCACTGAAAGGGCCAGCCTGGAGGGAAAGTTCTTGAGTATAGTTTTGAACACACTGAGACATCTAAGTGACACTGTCATGGGAGGAGTTGGATATACGGGACTAAGCAGGAGGTATAAGTGCGTGAGTCATCCAGAGATGGGAGGTAACTGAAGCCAAGGGTGTGGATGAGACTGCCCAGGGAGAAAGGCTAGCACGTAAAGGGACGAGGGCCCAGGACTAAACCTCGCGGAATGTTTCATGAAGAGGATGAGCCTTTATGCCACTTAACACAATGTGCAGTTACTGACTTATTTGCTTGTTTACCTGTTTCCTGTCTGTCTTCCCTGAGACGACTGCAAGCCCCAAGGGGCAGAGACTGCATCTGTGCTCCTCAGCAGTGTTTCTACCCAGTGCCTGGCACAGAGCAATTCCCGATATTTGTTGGATTAACCTAATCCCAGCTTCCCTCTTTACTAGCTGTCTGATGTTGGGCAAGGTATTAACCTCTCTGAGCCTCAGTCTTCTCACCTCTAGAATGGTGATAATATTACTTTCTTCATAGAGTCGCTGTAAAGATAAAATGAGTTAATTTGTACAAAGAATCTATATGGCATGATGCACACAGAAATGAACCATTCTCTTAAGTCTCTACTTATTAATGTAGAAAATGGGAAGAAATTACTCAGTGGAGCATCCAATAATCTAGGGAAGAGCAGGATCAGGCAGCCAACCTTCTCCTGCCACTAAGCCAGTCCCTCATTCAATGGGGTAAAGGGGAGGGTACACCAAGTCCCTCTTTTCTTGGGGCCAAAATTGGTTTTTCTCCCAGGCTCTTCCCATTAGTCAGTGAGTTCACTCACTTTTCCTCTCTACTTAATGAAGTTCTTCCAACCTTGAAGGCCCAGCTATAAGTCTCACCTCTTCCAGGAAGCTCTCCCTGACTATAGCAGTCCTCACTGCTCTCTCCCTCTCTCCATTGGCCTCTTTCAGAACTGACTATACCTGTCACTGGGCACTTGGGACAGACTCCTGGGGTTCCTACTTCTCTTCCTAAGAGAGGCTTTATCGTCCTAACCAGCCAGCAAATCAGAGCAGCATCTTTATGTCCTTGGTGTCTAGCACAGAACTGGACAGAGCACAGGCCTTGGAGTCAGACAGACCAGCTGTGTGATACAGGACAACTGCTTTAACCTCTCTGGGCCTGGTTTTACCTGTGTTATTAAGAATAACAATGAGATGATGGATATAAAGGGACCCAGGACTGGAAGAGGCTGGTTGCTGGAATAATTATCCTAATACTCCCTTACATGTGTAGTGTTTCACAGTTAAAAACAAACAACTGTAACAATGCAGTGAGGTAATCAGGGAGGGATTATTAGTCCTATTTTACAGATGAAATAACTGAGGCAAGGAGAAGTTACATAGGGAGGACAGGCAGATGGACTTTAGCAGGAAAGAGAAAAGTACCAGGGGTTAGAAGACCTGGGTAGAAATGCCAGTTCTTCCCCTATCCAGCTGTGTGAGCTTGGACAAGTCTCTTGCCCTCTCTGGACATCAACTTGCTCATCTTAAGTGAGAGAGTTCCTAGTTATCTCTATCTTAAAGTCTCCCTCAGCCCTGACATTCTAGTCTTCTGTGATCTGCCCAGGGTCCTTCCCAGCAGGACTGCAAAAAGGGGCTGCAAGTCCCATGCCAGAGTCCCTAGTTACTCCCAGGAAACCAGCCGGGACTGGAAGATTTGATTTGAAAATTCAGTTGTGCTTTGATTCAGCCAACTGGAGCTTCAAGTCTTGGGGGGGGGAGGGTTGGGGGGTGGGTAAGTCATACCCAGAACTGGGGGGAAAAATGCCAGCATCAAACTACATGTAAATATGAACACAAACGCAAAACCAAACCGGAAACCTCAGGAAAGTCCATTCCAAAGGTCAGATTCTAACTTTTTGGGCACAGAAATGCTGAAGAGAAAAGTTTCATTTAGGTGCCACAAGACCTTCTATTGCAAAAATGAACACTCGCAGGCACCGAAGGCAAAGGAGGCTTGGTTTTGTCTAGTATGAACTGGGGCAAAGCTGAGCCTTGACTAGAGCCTGCTGCAGCCTCCAGACCCATTCTGAGGCCCCCTCCCCCGACACACACAAGTGCTTACACAAACACAGAAAGCCAGGCAGGGCCAGATGCACGGGCATAAATGGGCATTTCTGTCCATGGGGAAGGATTCATTGTGCAGCCCCCTCCTCCCGCTCCTCTTTGACTAAACATTCTAATGAATGACCTGGAGAGGAGGGTGAACTGTGAAATCCCAGAAGGCACTGAACTCTTCCAGGTGGTGAAATGCAAGGCTATGAAGATACACCTGAGGAAGCTCCCCCCAGGAGGAGGCTGTGCAGCAATAAGTTTCCCTGTGAGCCTCCGAGTAAAATATAATCCAAATTCATGTGCAGTAGGGATCCAGGCTACTGGTTCTGCTCAAGGAAGGAAGCCAAAGGTTACCGGCCGCTGCTTTTTTTTTGTTGTTGTTGTTTCTTATTTTAATTAAAACACATATGCCTACTATGTGCAAAGCACTAGGCCAGGTTCCAAAGAGAAATGAGAATGAAAGAGACCCAGTTACTGTCTAAAGAAGTCCATCAATTAACCTGATGATAATCATTCCATTTATCAAGATGTATGCAAATTCACCCAGGGTCCACCCTGAGCGCCTCAAAAGAAAAGCCTGGCAATCTACTTTCAAAAAATCAGCCATTGAAAAACCCTATGGAGCAAAGTTCTACTCTGACACACATGGGATCACCATGACTTGGCATCAACTCTGTGGCAACAACAACAACATGCTTTACACACACTGCCTCATGAAATACCATAGCCCCGTGAGGTAAACATTATTATCCCCATTTTACAGATGTCAAAAGTAGGACTCAAACAGATTGGGTCACATGCCCAAGCTCACACAGCTGGTAAATTGCAGAGTCAGAATTTGAACACAGGTCTGCTTCCCCAAAGCTGATGCTCTTTCCACAGTCCTCTGTTACCCTTACCAAGCAATACAAACAGACTGGGAGATGGAGGTTCAGCCAGCCAGGCAAGAAGAGGAGAGGTTTCCCAAGACATTGGCCCAGTGTATTATCAAAAGTCCTACTAAGCCCTGTATCTGCCACACACAGTAGGTACCCAGTACACTAATGGTAAAGGATGGAAGACAAGAGCTGAGGTCCAAAATGTCACCCAAAATTCAGGGCATCCTCCAAAAGGGAGCTGCAAAAACATGTTACTCTCCACTGGCACAAAGCCGCAGGGTGTCTACCCTAGAATATTCCAAGCAGAGGAGCCAAAGAAAGCTGCAGCAGGTCGGAAAAAGAGGAATGAGCTCCAATGAGCCTGAGAATGGGGTGGGGCACTCTACAAGGGCGAAGAAAGGGCCTGGGACGCTTTGCTCGAAAGACAAAGAGGAAAGGGGAGGAGAGAGAACACTATAAACTTGCCAACAGCCTGGCCAAGGTGAACCCCGGCTCCTGGCGCCTTCCCATTCACATTCATTCCACAAACACTGGCCAAATCTCAAAGACAAGGGAGAGGGGGCTCCCTGCAGCCTGGGATAAGTAAGTTCAGCACAGAGGCAGGGAAGGCCTGCTTCTCAGAAGGGGAGTGACTTGGGGAGCAAACTTGTGGGGCTCCAAAGACGAAAACACAAGCCGATGCAGTAAGGCCCGGAGCAAACACTCTTGCGACGGGACTGGTCACCAAAAGCGTTTGGGGTATGTCCCCCAACCTTTGAAGTCTGTCATCGAGGTGCGCTCGAGACACCCACTAACGGCCCCTAGGGCCCTCCCCTGGCCTCGACGGTGAGGACGCAAACGTTTGAGATGCGCTCAGTTCTCGCAGACCTAGGAGGCAGGTTTCTGGGGCGCATGTTAAGGGCTATCGCAGTTCCAGTCATGCTTGTGAAGGTCAAGGCCAGGCCCTGCCCGGACCCCGACCGCTCCCGCCCTGGTCCCCTCACCTCCTCCCGCGCCAGCACCGCCCCCCGGCACCGGGGCATCTTAGCGGCGAAGGCCACGGCCCCGGCCGGAGAGCTGAGGTCCTCCGCGGTGACGGCCAGGAACTCGGCGACGCTGAGCTGCTCCGGCATGGCGGGCGCGGGGCGGGGATGCCGGGGCTGCGGGAACGGGGCGCTAGGAGCGCTGCGCTGCTCAGCGCGGAGCAACCTCACCGCCTGCCGAGGGCGCAGTCCAGGCCTCCCCACGCCCCTCCCCTCCGCGCCGCCCCGCCCCCAACTGCCTTAGCCCCGCACAGCCACGTCCGCTCCCGTCCAGGAATCCTCTGAGCTTCCCCGCCCCGCCTGAGCTTCGGTCCCGCCCCCAGCCTTCCTGGCTCTCTCCTCACTTTAGACTGGATAGCCCCGCCCCCGGCCTCACGCAGGGCTCCTAGGCCCCGCCCCCAGGGCACCCCGCCCCTTAATGCCCCGCCCCTAGCCTCTCTCCCAACTCCTCGGCCCCGCCTCCGCGTCCTAGCCGCCTCCAAGCCCCGCCTCTTGCTCCTGACCCGCCCCTGCCTCCATCAAAGCTCCTCCACAGCTCCGCCCCATTTTATTCCTGCTCCTGACCTCCCGAGTCATCTTCTCTTCCCCGGCCCCTCGACGCCCCAACCTCGCTCCCCTCTTCAGTGCCCCTTCCTCACGATCCCACCCTCTCCTCCTCCTTCCCTACCGACTCATTCCCAGTCCCCCATGGCCCCGCCCCTCTGTCGGGGACACCCTCGGCCTCCATCTCTCACCTAGTCTCTCCAGTCTCCTTGCCTCACTCTACTCCAATCCCCACCGCTACCTTGCTCCACACACCGTTTCTCAGCCTAGGTTGTCTCTGCACGAGGCCAGGGCCGCCCACCTGCTCCTGTGCTGTGTCCCCAGCCACGTGCCCCATCTCCAGGGAGTGAGGGGCGTCAATCTGCTCGCAAGCTGTATGACTTTGGGAAAATTACTTTTCTTCTCGGAACCTCAGTTTCCACATCTGTAAAATGGGAAGCCTGATCCCTATTTGGTTTTGATGTTGCCAGGAAAGAACCGGTTGTTAAACCCATTGCCGTGCAGTCGATTCCAACTCATAGCGACCCTATAGGACAGAGTAGAACTGCCCCAAAGGGTTTCCACGGAGCGGCTGCTGGATTCAAACTGCCGACCTTTTGGTTAGCGGCCGAGCTCTTAACCACTGAGCCGCCAGGGCTCACTGTTGTCATTAGGTGCTGTCAAGTGGATTTTTGACTAATAGTGATACTATGTGACCCAGTAGAACTGCTCCATACAGTTATCTAGGCTGTAGCAGATCACCAGGTCCTTTCTCCCACCGAGCCACTTAGCAGATTCAAACCACCAACCTTTCAGTTAGCAGCCGAGCACTTAATCATTGCACCACCAGGGCTCCATCTGGAAAGAACCTAGCATAGCGCATACACCTGATAGGCACTCAGCAACACGCTCCCCTCTACCAGCCGTTACTCACACCTTCACTCATCCTGGGCTCAGTTGGTTACGTTCACCCTTTAATCCCACTTGCCATCCCCACCAGGCTAGAGACTCCCACTCCTTCCTATCCACTAGCCTTTGCTAGTGTTGTTGTTAGCAGCCGTGGAGTTGGCCCTCACTGGGATCCCATGCACAACAGAACAAAATGCTGCCTGGTCCTACTCCATCCCCTTGCCAGGCTATTGGCAAGCTTATAGTGACTGATTTTTGGAAGATCAGCAGGCCTTTCTTCCTGTCAGTCTTAGGCTGTTGGCAAGTTTATAGTGATCCATAGGGTTTTCATCAGCTGATTTTTGGAAGTAGATCACCAGGCCTTTCTTCCTATCCGTCTTAGTCTGGAAGCTCTGCTGAAACCTATGCAGCGTCATAGCAACACAAAAGCCTCCACTGACAGACGGGTTATGGCTGCACATGAGGTGCATTGGCCAGGAATCTAACCCACATCTCTGCAAGAAGGGCAAGAATTCTACCACTGAACCACCAATGCCCTCATCCTGGGAACCAGGATCCTCAGGTGGGTGAGGAAGCAGGTGAGGGATGGGGTTCAGGATAGAAATCTACTTAGGTTTAGTTCTGGAGCTGAGATCCTCTGGAAAAGATTCCTCCAGGTAAAAAATCAGAGAAGAGCTGTGGTGAAGAACATTGAGTTTGGAGTCAGACAGACCTGAATCCCAATCTTGGTTCTACTGTTGACCAGCTGTGTGCCATTGTGTTAACTGCTTGCTTCTCTAAGCCTGAATTTCCCTGTCTTAAAATGTTCTAATATCTTACCCCCTGAGGCTATTTAGAGGATTATATAGTTTGCATAGAAAAAAAAACTGGAACAATATATGCTAAAATATTACCAGTTGAGGACATTATTTTGCATTGGCAAATCTGCTGCAAAAGACCTCTTTAAAGTGTTGAAAAGCAAAGATGTCACTTTGAGGACTAAGGTGCACCTGACCTAAGCCATGATACTTTCACTCGCCTCATATACATGCAAAAGCTGGACAATGGATAAGGAAGACCAAAGAAGAATTGATGCCTTTGAATTATGGTGTTAGTGAAGAATATTGAGCATACCATGGACCGCCAGAAGAATGAACAAATCTGTCTTGGAGGAAGTACAGCCAGAGTGCTCCTTGGAAGTGATGATGGTGAGACTTTGTCTCACGTACTTTGGACACATTATCGGGGGGACCAGTTCCTGGAGAAGGACATCATGCCTGGTAAGTGTTATGGATTGAATTGTATCCCCCCAAAATGTGTGTTAACTAGGCTAGGCCATGATTCCCAGTATTGTGTGATTGTCCACCATTTTGTCATTTGATGTGATTTTGCTGTATGTTGTAAATCCTACTTCTACGATACTAATGAATGTGGTGCGATGAATTACTTTTGTGTGTGGCCTTTCTAGTCATGGTCTTGTGACTCCCACCCAGATGATTGGGTGGGGCTGTGCAAATAAGATGATTGTGGCCCACCAAGGGGATCGGTCAGTTTTGCCTTAAAAGAGAGCCGATTCCAGAACAGAGAGAGCCCACCACCATCAAAGGAGAGACCTGCAGCACAGACCTGTAGGAGACGGCACAGAGGGCTTCCCAGCTGACAGAGCGAGAAAGCTGAGTGCCTTTGGGCAGAGATTGCGGGCCAGGGAGACGTCTACGCCTGACCCACGTATTTGGGACTTGCCAGCATCCACAACTGAATGAGTCATTTCCTTTATATGGTTAGTGAGTTCTGTGAGACGTTGCAGAGAATTAGTGAACCCAAAGACAGGAGGGAGAGTACTGAGGGAAGAGGGAATAGTTGATGTTGGAGATGATGAAGCGGTACAGCAGCTTGGAAAAATTGGACATTTGGGACATCTTTAACCTCTGCCTCATAGGAACCAGGTTTGTGCTAATCCTTATAAAAGAAATTATTTGTTTAATGAGGCAGGGCTCAATCTACAAGATTAGGTTGTGTCTTAAATCAACCTCTTTTGAGATATAAAAGAGAGAAGCGAGCAGAGAGACAGGGGGACCTCATACCACCAAGAAACAAGAGCCAGGAGAATAGAGTGTCATTTGGACCCGGGATCCCGTGCTGAGAAGCTCCTTGACCAGGGAAGATTGATGACAAGGACCTTCCCTCAGAGCCGACACAGACAGAAAGCCTTCCCCTGGAGCTGGCGCCCTGAATTTGGACTTCTAGCCTCATAGAGTCTTGCAACATCAGCAAATGAAGGTCTGAAAAGTTTGACTCCATCCACGGCATTAAAGTCGACTCTACTTTGAGGAGGCGGCTCTTCTCCAGTCATATTTTGAGTGCCTTTCAACCTGAGCGGCTCATCTTCCAGCACTATATCAGACAATGTTCTGTTGCTATTCATAAGGTTTTCACTGGCTAGTTTTTTTCATAAGTAGACCACCAAGTCCTTCTTCCTAGTCTGTCTTCGTCTGGAAGCTCAGCTGAAACCTGTCCACCATGGGTGACCCTGCTGGTATTTGAATTTTACATTGTTGTTGTGTGCTGTCGAGTTAATTCCAACTCATAGTGACCCCAAAGGACAGAGTAGAACTGCCCCATAGGATTTTCCAGGCGGTAATCTTTACAGGAACAGATTGACAGGTCTTTATTCCTGCTAAGCTGCTGGTGGGTTTGAACCGTCATCCTTAGCAGCCAAGTGCTTAACCATTGTGCCCAAGGACTCCTTTGTTTTTGAACATTTTATTGTGGTTTAGGTGAAAGTTTACAGAGCAAATTAGTTTCCCAATCAACAATGTATACTACAGCTTGTTTTGTGACATTGGTTGCAAACCCCTGAATGTCAGTACTCTCCCCTCTTCCTCCTTGGATTCCCCGCATCCATTCGCCCAGCTTTCCTGCTGCTACCTTCCTTTTGAACTTTGCTTTTGGGCAAATACTGCCCTTTAAGTCTCATATAGTTGATTGTTCTGAGGTGTACATTCCTCACTGGTGTTTTTGTTCATTTTATAGGCCTGTCTGTTGTATGGCTAAGTCTGGTCTTATTTATGAGTTTGAATTTTGTTCTACATTTCTCTCCCACTCTGTCCATGACCTACCATTGTGGTCCAGTTCAGAGCGGTCGGTAGTGGTAGCTGGGCACCATCTAGTTCTTCTGGTCTCAGGCTAGTGGAGGCCGTGGTTCATGTGGGCCTTTAGTCCTTCGGACTAATTGTCTCCTTGAGTCTTTGGTTTTCCTCACTCTTCTTTGCTCTGGACCGGAAGAGACCAATTATTGTATCTTAGATGGCTGCTCACAAGCTTTTAAGATCCCAGTCACTGCTTACCAGGTAGGATATAGAACATTGTCTCTACAGATTATGATATGCCAATTGACCTGATGCCCCCTGAGACTATGGTCCCTAGCCCTCAAGCCCAGTATCTCAAACCCAGGAGGTATATGGTTATGGCTAAAAGTTGTCATGACTGTGTCCCTTGTGCACACTATTGCATACATGGGTATATTTGAAGCACGTACACGTATATATGTACATGGGTGTACTTCCCTATGCCTTCCCACCCTATTCAGCTTACATATCTACCTGTGTATCCACTCATATGTTATTGTTTTTATTACTGTTGTTGTAGGATTGTATATGTATCAGTATTTACCGTTGTTG